CCTAACAGCCCTGACCTCTGAGCACTAGAATCTAGAGGTGCGCTGATAACGTCAATTTTCCTTTTATCGGTGCTGATACGAACGGCAATCGGCATTTTTGGCTGATGTGGCCAATAATGTCACCAATAAAATGCCACATGCGTGGGCGCAGCTGCAGCATGCACATGGCCAGGAGTACAGTCCCGCAGCCTGGAGAGCAGCATCTGGCCAGTAAGTCTGTTGTGGGGGGAGGGGAGTGGAGGGGCAAAATGCGGCCCCCACAGTGGGGCTGGGGCTGGCACTGCACAGTAGGGCTGTGCAAAGCTTTGGTAGCCAATTCAATTAGAAAGAGATTCGGCCTGATTTGGCAGCCAGATCTTCGAATCTGAATTAAATTGGGAGACCCATTAAAAGATCCGAATAGATTCGAAGCTTCAGAAGACGCAGGAAACAGAAACTGAGAAGAGGGAGGGGGATGCAGTGTCTTCCATTTGTGGAAAAGGCTGAGAGGGAGGGAAAGACTGCTCTGATACTGACATCTGTAGCTGGTCAGTGACTGTGATCTTTCTCTTGAGTTCCCTTCCAATCACAGTGCTACCATCCCTGCTGTTTTCATCCTGTACTGCCTTAACACACAAGTGATACGAGTTTTGCTTTCAAGTTTGACGTGCACTTTCAAAGAAACCCCTGCACCTATTTCCTTGAAACTTGGCAGGCATCATGCGCTCAGCAGGGGCTACCATCCCTGCTGTTTTCATCTGAATGTGCAAAAAAATGACAAAGTTATAGGTATTGTAGTGATTCCCCATTATAGTCTATGGACGAATCTGAATTGGCCTAATTGAATTGGGACAGTGATTCAAATGACTGAATTGAATCACTGTCCCTCCAAATCGGTCAAATCCGCAGTGAATACTTAATACTTTGCACTGGCCTACTGCACAGCTGGGGCACAGTGGGACATGGGACAGAGCCACAAGCAGCTCATCTGGAGGGCGCAGGGGCACACGTACCCCCAGATCTGTGCACGGGGCGAGGGTAGGCTGCTGCTGGGGGCTGGGGCCAGGAGCAGCGCTGGGCTCTTACTGTTAGGGGGAGTTGGGCTGGGGCTATGCTTGGTATTGGTGGCAGCAGTGCTGGGAGCCTGCCCCAAGTGCAGCCTCGGCCCAGCCCCTCCCCAAGAAGAGCCTGGTGCTAGCCCCAGTCCACTCTAGCCCCATGCACAGATCTGGGGGTGGTACATGCCCCCCATGCCTCCCCTGGGGGTGTGCACAGCAGTGGGAGCTGCCCCCACTCCCCGCACCTCCCAGACAAGCTGCTCATAGCTCTGTCCCATGCCCCACCCCAACTGTGCAGTGCCTGCCCCAGCCCCTCCCTTACCATGGGGGCCTTATTCTGCCTCCCCCACTCCCCTTCCCTCCACCCAAGCCTCTTCCCCGCCCCACCCCCCCCGACAGACTTACTAGCTGGTGGCTGCTCTCCAAGCTGCCGGGCTTGCATATTGGCAATCGGATCAGTATTGGTTGATATGGCTCATTAATAATTGGCCATCAGTATCGGTCCAAAAAATGTTTATCAGTGCACCCCTACTAGAAGCCCCAAAGCCTGGGATAATCCAAAAAACACAACTATCTTATAGATAGCCCCGAAATACTTCCAAGCCAGCTCCCTCCCCCATCAGCATTGTCCCAGTTGCTGATGATTTTAAGAATCTGCCAGAAATTTCTCTCTTTCCTAGGACATCTGGAATTCCTCTAGCTAATGACCCATGTGTCTGCCATAGCTGTTGTGGGGTTGGTTTCTCCATTAGAGACAGACAGTAGCTTGGGTGATCATTCCAAAATTAGCCTCTTCTGCTGATACTTGGGAGTGGCACTCATTCTTGTCCTAATAACACAGTGGCAAGAGATACTTAGCACTTTTGCCTACTCCCATTCCCTTAGTTCCTTTGACTAAACAATGTCCAAGATCATACAGGTGACATATAGACAGCATAATATAATCCATATAGTGCTAAAAGTAACATGAATAAGTACAACATAACACTGACTTTCCAAAGAGACCACACATGCCATACCAGCAGAGCTAGCTCAAGAAAACATGCATGAAAATCCCATGAATACCTCAAAATATTTTCCATGTTTCAGGGGTATAGGTTGTAGCCATGTTGGTCTAAGGACATTATCTGCCTATGTCCTTAGACCAACACAGCTACAACCTATACCCCTGAAACATGAAATATATTGAATTTTGCCTTTTGAAATGGAAATTACGCAACATGAAAAAGAAAGAAGCCAAAATCAACAGCGACATATATTTTCTAATCCTATACAAGAAACAACATTATTCCCACAGGACTAAACATCTACAATCCTCTGACTACTATACACAACTCCAAATATGCTTCACAACTTTGCAGGAGAACTTCAGAGAAACTTAGAAATCATCTTCACTTAACCTACTTCAAAAGAGATCAACTTAGGAAGGAAATCACCACATGCTACAACAACTTAGAAAACCCAGACATCTTCCCAAACATTATACAATGTATACAAAGAGACTACCAAAGAATTTCTACAACATCCATAAAACATAAAAAGAAGAAATGGAAGCAGTTACTCCAGGAACAACTTTTCCAACCACAAAACAACCATCAGAGAAACAACACCAACACCGTACAACATTCCAGCCTCAAACTCGAAACTAAAAGAAGCGACCAACCATTAAATATTATCCATCTCTCCATTCACACAGTTACCAAAGCTGCAAAACCTGTCCTCTCTAAAGACCTGAATTTTTGTCCAGAAAAATACCCTAATAAAATACTTCAGTGTGGAGAACTAGAAGAATTCTTCTAAAGCCTCTGCCTCCAGGAATATTTTCACAACCTAAATGAATCCACTTCCAACAACATTTTATCCTTTGGCCACATCAAGGAAAAGATCAACCCCACAAAAAAACAAAGAAAATCAGGTTGGATACCTCACAGTGGACAAAATTCTAACCTTGACTGCTGTATTGACTGCTTCAGGAAAAAAATGAACAATGAAATAATCAACAAGACACGCCACCATAACAACCTCTCCCTCTCAGAGAGAAGGGCCATAGAATCTCTTAAAATCTAACTACCAAATAGTAGTAAAACCAACAGATAAAGGAGGAGCTATAGTTATCCTGAACCGTGAAGACTACATAAAAGAAGCCAACAGACAAACTCTCTGACAAACCTTGTCTGTCAAAATATTTTGGCGTTTATGACAGTTGCATTATCACTTCACCCCACAAAGCATTGACTGATCAAAAGAAAATATGCATTGATTTGCCATTCTGGAGTTTTCTTTGTCAGAGGTGCTACAAGAAAAAGCTATTTTCAATTCACCAATAAAGCCTAGTCATGACTTGGGTTTTACACCTCCCAGATTCTTCCCAGCTGTTCTATTGAAGATTATGCATGCTATCACCTCTTTCCTAAAAATATAGCAATAGGTAGACTATGACCACCACTGCTACATGAAAGTGCAAGAGCCTGGTCCAAGATGTGTTCCAAACATCTGCGCAGATCCTTTTAAAGAACAATTCTGAAGAAAAACTAACTGACTGCCCTAGATCATACTCTATTTAGAACAACGCTTAAGTAGCAAGGTGGTAGGACAGTTCAGTATCTGAGAATGAAAAGTAGAACTACCTTGAATCTCAGGAAAACAGATTTCTGACTGAAAAAGCTTCAGTGTCTCACATTCATTACTGAATATCTGTTTATAACTGGAGAATAGCTGCTTAGAAGTGACCACTGACTAACCAGATGAAAAAAACAAATATAAGTACTGCTTACATCAGTGTTTAAAAGTCAAAACTGTGTCAAACAACTGCAACTCCTTCCCTCTTTTTCATAGGAAGGCACGATGGAAGCAGAAGATTAAACAGCCTCTGCCGCTCCTAGTTTTAGTTCAAAGCTAAACTGCTGCAGCAGTAGCTGCTCTCACCACATTTTGGTCCAACCAAAAAGCAGATAGTACAAGTAGTAGCAAAACCTCTTCAACTCAAGGTTGTGGGCCATTTGAGGGCTATTTCACCATTCCTTGAATTATTTGAAAATGTTGACATAAATGTGTTTACTAGTATAGTTTCAAATTATTACTGCCATATCCTTCATACATCTGTTATATGGTGGAAGCTCTCTCTGCTATTAGGGATGGATGCTGGCATATCTAATACGTACTCTACTGTAGTTTAATTCCTTTGCATCCAAAAGAAATGGCTGGATTTGTGATGCCTGTAGGAGTTTAAATCCCAACAGGGGGAAAAAACTGCATGAAACAGTCTTTATCCAGTTGCACGTTCTTTCTAAAACACAGGACTACGATGCTATCCAGTTGATGTCCTCAGAAAGTTCCTCTGAAGTTCCCTTGTCCATAAAGATCATATTCCTTGAATAGTATATATTCTTTTAAAGGGTTGGGTAGAGGAAGGAATGTCATGAAGACAGGACAGCGCAGACGCAAGCGCCCCATGCATTTCCGGATCTTCAAACGACAAAGATGTTTCAAAGTGCGAGGATTTGCTAAAAACAGAAGAATAATTTTCTCTTACTAATCAAACTATAAACACTTTATTCCATTTTTCGTGATTGCTCCATCCCACCTTTTAAAGAATTGGGTCTAGATTCTGATTCATTTATTTGGGTTGAATAATACATTGAGATTAGGGACTTCCATAGAATTAATGGTACTTCTTCTGGAGCACGCAACATGTGGAAGGATATCAGCATGTGGTCCTCTAACTTGTCACCAGTTTCACTTGCAAATGCCATCAAACAACCTACCACATTTATTCAAACATAAGACACCCCCCCTGCAATAATTAGATTCTATAGGCATCAGGACAGATATGAGAGCATTTTGACTTTCCCCATTATGCTCCTAAGTCATCCTTTCTCCTTTTTTGAACTCTTCTTTGCATTTAAAATACTATGGAAAAATGATCAGGGTAAAAAGAGTTAATATTACCCAATATGGCTGCATTAAAATGTCATTTGAAAGAAGCAGAGCTAATTTATTGAGTTTCTTTCAATAAAGCCTATTGACATTGCATGTGGCTATATGGAGGGGAGGAAAATAATTTAGTTTTGAACACAAAGGAAACGGCAGCAGGTAGGCTGTAGTCTGCTTTGTTATTAGGAAACCTGCAAGCCACTGAACATGAATAGTTCTAGTGCCGTGATTCTTCTGAGTAATGTTTATCTTAAACACCTCCAAAGCCTCCAGTTTTTACAGGCAGTCCTCAACTTACGGCGGCTTGACTTGCAGCAATCTGCATTTGCGGTGCTCCACATTTTACACCCCTGTTATTACTAACGGTGCTGATCCTCGTACTTACGGCAGGCAACGGCGGAGGCACCGGGGCCAGCGTGGGACACTTACCGGAGGTAAGCTCAGGCATCAGCTCCTCCCAAAGGCCATGTGATCCCAGAGGCGAGACAGAGATGGGGGCTGGGGCTGGCGCAGGGGAACTACTCCACTTCCCAGCCCTGATGCCACGTGCCTCCTCGCTCCCAGAAGCATGGTGAGTTGGGGATGGGGGCTGGCGTGGGCTATCCAGCTCCGGGGAACTGCTCAATGGGCTCTGCCAGCTCAGGGGAACTGCTCCACACCCCCGCATCACCTCAGGGAGCAAGGAAGTACATGGCGTCAGGGCTGGGGAGCAGAGCAGTTCCCCGGAGCTGGCAGAGCCCATGGACCAGTTCCCAGCCCCCGTCCCTGTCTTGCCATGCCTCTGGGAGTGAGGAGACACATGGTGTTGGGGCTGGAAAGCGGAGCAGTTCCCCGGAGCCGCCAGAGCCCATGCTAGCCACCAGCCCCCATCCCTGCCCTTGCCTCGCCTCGGAGAGGAGCTGCTGCCTGCCCCGCGTGAGGACTGAGGATCTTACCTTCAGTAAGTATCCCATGCTGGCCTCGGTGCCTCCCTTCCAGTTCTATCAATCAATTGTGTCCGGCCCACGGCCTTCTGATTAAATCATTTCTAGTTGATTAAATAGTTGATTTAAATATGTTTATGGTCATTTCTATAAAAAGTTGGGCATCAGGCCCTTGGTCAGGAACCTCTATTATAACGTTGTTTCTATGGGAAAATCAGATTTGACTTGCATTGTTTCGACTTACAGCACCTCTTCCAGGAATGTAACCCGCTGTAAGTGCGAGGACTGCCTGTACAACTATTTTTACTTCTCTCAGCTGCTTAATTGCCTTTTGTTCTAATAATAGGCAGGACAAGATAACAAAAAGCAGTGTCACTGTGCATTATGGAAACAGAAACAGTCTCTGACACTTACTTATCATGGATTCAATTTCTGGCCACAGCTCCTGTTCTTTGAGAACTGGTTTCAGCTTACCGCAAATGTTAACATGATCAATGTAATCTAGCATTACTCGCACTACTTTCCCAGACAAGTGCCTCAGCCATGACAGCGTTATCACCTCACAGAACTGAGAAAAATCAAAAGAACATTCAAAATTTCTGTGAATCATTTCATTTATTCCCCAAAGGTCAAAACAACCAAAAATAAGTTTCGGACAAAAAAAAAAAAAAAAGCGGGATAAGTGTTCTACTATCAGGGGTTTCTCTGGTGGTCACTGAACTTACGTTACATCAGAGTATAGAAAGCCGACAGCCTTTGCAAAGGCCTTAGGTGCATCCATGTTTTTGGCACTGCATCACCTAACTTTAATCTTCCACTTGTTAGAGCAGAATCCTGTAACTCCATGCTTACACTCGCTATGCACTACAGAGAGGGGAAATCACTTTGAATTGGGACCCAAAGCAACCTTATACTCTACAGGGTGCTACATAATTCTAGTCAATGGGAAAATGCTGTGTGCGGGGATGTTCCTGAAGTCCCTTGTCTCAAGGTGCATCCCCCTGGGAACACACCCCTGAATGCAGCTATCTACACAGTCTTTCAAAGAACTGAGCAGGGCTTCCCTTCCTTCTATGCCTGTCTTGGATCCTCAGATGTCAACTGTATTTTTGTTAGCTGCTGACTTAACTCATGGATCAAACAGTCTTTTATAAGAACCAGACTGGTATTCACTTGCATTCTTTGATATATTTGAATCCATTAAAGCTGCTTTATTCTAACGATTTATCATAAACGGCTTCGTGACCAGTGTCCACTAAATTGTCTTCAAAACTTTGTCTACTACTACCTTTACCTAAATTTTTCTATATTGGCAGATTGTAACACATTAATCAAAGAATGAACATATCTACCTTTAATTCTGAGGAGTACAGGCAGCAAAACAATGATATGCAACGTCTTTTGAAGTACTTACCATTGTGTCTTTGATAACAGTAGAAGTCCATCCTGCAAACACGTATTGGGAATGGGAGTTGTCTCCATGAGGACAATCAAAGCAGCGGTACACATCATACCCATAGTTCAACAACATCCTTAATATGACTTCGTCTTTCAGAGCATACTGCAAAGCCGATGGGAAATGCGTTGTATTCACTCTGCAGAAGTAATTTACGTTGGCCCCATGGCGAAGCAAAAGACTCATTAACTCATAGTTGCCCATCCTCAAAGCTAATTGAAGACAGTTAATGGGGTCTTGATTTGGCAGGGCTCCAGCATTCAGGAGTAGTTGAGCTGAACAGATATCTGCATTTGAGACAGCAAAATATAAAGCTGATTTCCGCTGGTCATCATAGCCCTTGCGAATTCTCTGACCCAACATGAAATTGGCGTCAAACCCAGATTTGAGAAGAAACTCAAGGCACTGAGGATGTGCTCCTGCTGCTGCAGAGTGAACTGGACTTATCCCACTCTCCTCAATGGCATCAAAATCAGTAACTGGAACCAAGCACTTCAAAGCTCTGAAGAAAAAAAATGAGAATTTTAAATATACCTTTGAACTGCTCTGTGCTAGAACCTTTGTTATGAGAGTCTGAATGAGTTGGATTATAGAGTTTAGCACAAACTTTGCTCTGCTTACACTTAAGTTAATCTTCCACAGAGTCAGCATCCTGGCAGGTAGCATATCTACACTGGTTTTATCCTCTAACAGTCATAAGGTAGCCAGTCTCTTGATTTCAAAACTACTGCAAAGGATCAAACATCGTATCTGTCTATCTTTCCTTTCAGGAACAATGAACGTCCCCTTCTCAGTAAATGGAATGACCTTATGGCCTTTTCTGTCAGTCTGAAGAAACCTGCTAAAGGCTCTATAGTCTCATTTCAC